GATAATATGATCATTGACAAAAAATATACCGTCTGATGGGGGCAATATAATATTATCTCTATTTATAGTCTGTTTTCTTTTTGTGTGTTTTACCTGTCGTTTGATATACAAGGTTTATATTACATCTATATAGGATGATATTGTTAGAACTATATAAATATATATCATCCTATAATCTACGAAAACATCCCTTTCATTGGGAAATAATAACACTACCTTGATGCACATGTGATACAAAAACGAGTTAGCAAGTTCTCGTATCTACTTCTAGTTAGGATATAGGCGTAGGGGGCCAATTTCAGTTTGAGGGGGCGGGGAGTTGCATTGCGAATTATTGAAATAAAATTGAACCATATGTTAGTCCCGAAATGAACTAGTGTCGAGTCCACGTTAATCTCTCTCTCTCTCTCTCTCTCTCTCTCTTCTCCCGTTTGTGTCGAGTGGACGCTAAACTCTCTCTCTCTCTCTCTCTCTCTCTCTCTCTCTCTCTCCTAATTTTCAAATTGCAGTGATGCTTCTATTAATGCAGGCCGCCCAGTTATAAATAAGGCCCACAAGGGGAAACACACAAGATGGAAATGTGAATATACTTCAATAAATAAGACTTCTAGATAAAGTTTTTAGTCCCCAATGTGATGGTGATCTGATAGAAACAACATAATACCAATATCCCACCTGTTTTATCTCATTATTTAGACACTTTGTAGACGCAATCAATCAAAACTAGCAATAGAACCCAGTACACATAGATAATAACTCCCACAGCAGTATTTTAAACATCACATCAAGAAATTATTCTTTAAAAATATGTTTTATATTACTTGCTGAAAAATGAAAAATGTTTAATTTTGTGTGGGGGTGGTGCTGACTTTGAGAAAATTCTGTCGTGAAATTAAAAAAAAATGAACTAGAATATTAGATTTTCAGCAATTATTCAAATATATAAAGCCGCCCATGTTAATGGTGAAATCATTTCCATATAAACCGTGCAAGTTTTTTTACAGTAATTTTTTTTCTGCTATGATATATGAAGATCGTCTGGCAATTTAGAATTTTACAATAGGTTACTCGTCACTTCAACAATGATATCTTTTTTTATTGTTATCACGTCAACAAATCTGCAATCTAAAACAAAAATCAGAAAACATGCAAAGATCATTCCAGAAAACCTTTGTAGGTTAAAGGAGCTAAGTCTTTAACTCAATATCATCAAAAATTCTCGACATTGAAAACACGATTTATTTGTCGATTTAAATCAACATTGATGTTGTGATCTTACCGGGAAAAGATGACCTTCTGATATCCAATATTTAAGACAAAATAAACATTTTACAATTGGTACACGAATCGTGTACCATAATGCGTTTCAGCGCTATTTGTAATAAGGGACTCGAAAAACGAGGCTAGGCATATTCCACAAGTCATGTCAAACGGTGACGCTTTATTCTTATTCTTAACTGATTAGAAATTACAGTAAAACAGAAACGATTGAATGTAAATCAATTTATATACATTCATATTACATTATTATATGCTTTGTGACCCATTTGTGTCAATTTCTAGAAGTGGGTCGCAACTCATATAATACCGTAATATGAATGTATATAAACTGATTTACACATTCAATCGTTTCCGTTTTTACTCTAATTTCAAATCAGTTATGTTTCGTGAAGTAAGCCAGCAGTCTCAATCGAGTGCAAATTCCTAGCGTCTAGTTATTCCAGTCTATATAAGCCGTTTGGTTTGGTGCAATATGTCTAGCCTTGTTCCTCTAGTCTCTTGCTAGAACTGGGGCTGAAACGCAATATGGTACACGATTCGTGTACCAATGGTAAAATGTTTATTTTGTCATAAATATTGGATATCAGAAGCCCATCTTTTCCCGGTGAGATCAAAATTTCAATGTTGATTTAAATTGACAAATAATTTGTGTTTTAAATGTTGAAGATTTTGGATGATATTGAATTAGAGACTTAACTCCTTTAAATGTATTTTTCTTATCGTTGACAAGGCCGTTTTTGTCATTGGAATTTTTGGATAAGAAATACAACCTGTCATGATTAAAGGAAAACAATAGAAACATTGTGTTATGTTTTAGTGTTTGATATTTGTCTAAAAGTTTTACATATGTATATGTTTATATAGGTTTATGTTATTTATTATAATAGTAAGTTATTGATAGGTCCGGGCACACCTTTTCTTTAATAAAAAGGAGAGTTCACACAGCGGCTTTCATACACGTATATACACATGCTCAAAAGAATTATTCAGTTCACGACAACACTGCTAGAGGCATCCAGCCTCATCCCAGACATCAAAAAACTGTCTGTCTGTCAATACAAAACATCTCACAAAAGATGTAGGTGTCACAACATAGGTCTTACGTTCTTATATAAACCGAACGAGAAAAGCAACGCCCGGATTGGGTTGACTACCATTAAACTTTGATTTTCATTTCCTGTTAGGTAATAATATTGCCAAAGCAATGATGTTAACCCTTTCTGTTCCATGAATTTTATCTATATGGGAACAATTTCATTTGTAGTCTAGACGGATTCATTACATACTCACTTTCCTTTACCCAGTATATGTATCCATAAACCTGCTTGAATAATTCCTGTAGATGCGAGCACTGCAAACCCTTGTAGAATATACTCTGAAAAAAACCGACCCCCTCCCCAATACCCCCCCCCCCCAAAAAAAAAAACCCCAAAAAAAACCCCAACAAACTAAACGAAACAGTCCCGTGGCGTTTCTTTTGAATATTCCACCATAGAACCGTACCTGTGTACCCTACCTGTATTTTACGATCTAAAAAGATAAAGTCGTTTATTAATAGACCTAACAATATTTGTATTGTTGTGTATGGAATATATAGTTCTATTAGTCTGATTGGATCCTACGCAATGATTTTACACAAAAACCCCAAACAAATGCAGTTTAATGAATAGCCATAGGAATATTTATTATGCATTAGTATGCATTGATATAAGTTTTTGGTATTTAGACTATCAAATTAAAACGTCTGGTGATATTCTATTGTTGAGGTTATTGCAAGGATGAAGGCGTAAATTTGAAATGAAGTGTATTTAAGTACACGTACAATTTTACCGTGTAATCTGTCTTATCAAGGGGTGTGTCACAAATTGGTTTCTGGGTTTGTATAGAGATGCTTTGCTGCCCCTTTTGTGATCAATGAGAACGCATAATATGCCACACAGTTTCTCAGAAACACAGCAAAACTTAATGTCATGAAAGTGAGACATTTTGGCCTTTTGGAGAAACCACGTACCAGATGAGATGTTTGTAATCTAGTGAAGAATATACTGCATTATTAGATTCAAACTCAAACCGGTTTCTGAACACGAAAATAGGTTGTCTGATACTCTTTTCCAGTTTTCTAAATCTAAAAAGGATATTAACATTGCTGCTCTCTAAAGTATCGAATACCATGAACCAATCAAACAAACTTACTGAAATAATAAAATATTGAATTAGATACATGATAGTCTGAACTCGGGAGGTATGCACCAATGATTTTTAACAATACCAATTCGTCACACGCTGTTTTATTCGACTCCCAATGTCATCCGTCTTCAATGAATTTTTTAAATACGATGGTGTTAGATGTCACAATTGTCTCTAGCTGAGCAAGATTTTAAAACACATTTTTCAACAGTTTTAATATTTCCACCATTAAGATTATCCCTTTCTTGTTTGCACTTCAATCGTGACCGACATATCGTTGAATAAAAATTATGGTTACGCTCACTAGAACCGCCATTTTCCCATTCATAAAATGACAGCGTAATGTTTTAGATATATTAATGGAATCTATTATCCTTATTTTATTCATTATATGACTGGGGTTTCTTCAATTCTTTCTCACAATTAGCCGAGAAGCATGGAGTGATAAGTGAACACCAACTGAGAAAATATATAGAGTTCCTGTCGACATGACAACTAAAATCACCAAACCCGCTCAAATATATGTCAAGATAGGCTATTTTCAAAATCTGGGTTGGTGGTATTAAAAAAAAGATTTTATTTTTTTAATCCTATCTGAGAATATTAAAAACTCTGCTTTCCTACATGTTTGTTATGTGTAAGCTGGAACCGGCACCACTAAAATTACACAAGCAGGGGCAGATCCAGGAATTTTTGCAGGAGGGGGTTTGCCAGGTTCCTGAGAAAATGTATATGTATCTCCCTCCCCCCCCCCCTCGGCTTGAAATTTTTTGAGAAATAAATGGTCTCTATTGTCATTTTGGCGTATATACATACACATTGAGCTTTTTAAACAGAGAAATCGAACATCCTGTTTGACGTCAATTTTTATTATGAATTAATACGATGACATTGTGATTCAATTTAATTATTGATGCAAAGCATTAATTTTGATATCACATATATCATTATCTCGCGTTTTGAGTGCCCATCCTGTTGCACCTTCTGACGATAAAGGATAAAGCAAAATTATGACACCTTTCTCACAAAAAAAGTTGTTTTACAAAAAAAAATTTTATGTAGATGAGCGGGGGGGGGGGGGGGGGGGGGGTTGGACCCCCCAAACCCCGGCCTCTGGATCCGCCCCTGACAAGATAATATACATACAGCCTGATTAGAAAATGAAATATAGATCTGGTGCCTGTTTCACGAAATTTTAACTAAGATAAAATCAAAATTTTTGTAATTTGGTTGGATAATATTAGATTGATTTTATTGCTTAGCCAATCAAAATTGAAGTATCTACTAAAATTTGGATTTTATCTTTAGTTAAGATTTTACGAGAAACAGGGCCCTGTATTTTACGAGAAACAGGGCCTTGTATTTTAATCAGCTTGTGGTTTTCATTGTAGGCCTACAATTAAAATCTCCAATTTATGTCAGATCCATTTTATAAAATGCACCACCGTGTCCTGCTCTCAAAAACACTACGGTACTAAATACAGTTCTTTTCAAATAGCTAATGCGGACAATCCTCTTTATTTTTATTTCAGATAAATGATGCACAAACTGCAGTGATTATTGAATCTAGCTAAATTCCATAATGAAAACGACAGTTCTAGTTTGTGTGATATTTGTAGGCCTGCTGTGGGTCGACCAAGTTACGTGCAGAGATAAGGCCTCCCATTTGTTGATGTTGGAACAGCCTTCATCTTACCATCATGTTGGTAAAACCAAACTGGAAATACGCTCCAATTATTCAGTGAGTATCAATTTTAAAGAATTAATCAAGCTTTAAGTTAAAACATGGTACTGAAACCATTATTTTTCTATTGCAAAATAAGGGCAGAGAGGGCTAAATCTATTTGTTAAGGCTAGCTCAATTTTTGTCAAGGTCGCTGAGATGTAAGTAAGGATAGGGTGTGTGCTTGTTGGCGAGACTGTAGTTTAAGGTTAGGGTAGGCATTGGGGTTAGGTCCAGGGTTGGGGTTGGGATTAGCGCTAGCCCTGTTTACATCTCTTGGCATATGACGAAAAATTGAGCTGGCCTTATCATTTAGGCATGGATGGGTCTCGGTGATAAAGTTGGGGAATGAGGAGAACAAATCCTTATAAAATAGTGTTTTGGTAATAATAGTGATCTCGCCATGGAGAAATGTTTCATATTTATTAAAGATACATTATGGGAGATAAGATAAAGAGCTGGCAGTTCTCACTATAATAGTTAAAAACTAGATAATGTAAAGGTAATTTGCTGAAAATTTCAGTCAAATTGATCCACTATGAACCGAGAATTAAGCGATTGAAATTTCGACCTAGCCTTGATCATCATTTCTAAAGTCTGTACGATAAAAAACATAGTCTCGAATATCCATTACATGATTAAATCATGAATGGAAGTCGAGCAGCAAATGGGATCATAATCCAGTAAATATCGCAGTCTAGCGAACTCATCGAGAGTTGATTATGGTCTGGATAAGTTAATTAATGTCTAATTACTAGTTTACATAACATTTCAGGCCTAAAGAAAGACCTGCAATTGGCAGATTTAGTGCATGCATAATGTATGTTTAAATAAGGATTTTTATCACTAATTACGCCACAAAAACAGCTTAATCAACGAATGATATCTATTTCTTTTCGTAAATTTAAAACGTAGGATTCAGTATTAAAATCTGGTTTATAGATTATATAATTAATTGATTTGTCAGACCTATGAATACCAAAGTGCCTGAATATATTGAACTTTAATACTTGAAGCCGTAATTTCTTAAAACTATATGATGACATTTGAACATATGTCAATGCCAAATAAGACCAAAACACATTCATCTGATTAAATACAGATCTATATTTCGTTTGGTTTGTTTTTATACTTTCGATGGCCTCTACTACATGAAGATTTGATCGGGGTCATACAAACCGCTTTTGGCCCTATGACGTCCGACATTTAATTAATCAATCAACGTTGATGTTTCTAGTGTCTTACCCATTGGCTTATCTCTCATATCATCAAGAACGTGGGTTATAAAACAACTCATCCAGATCCTAGTGTAGTAAAGACAAGTAAAACAAAATTTGAACTATAAAAAACGAAACGAAATAGGATATCCATTTTAATCAAATTGACATTGTGTCAAATAGTTGCTTGGGGATTATTATCATTACCTATACAGTAAAGATATAGGTTTCATATTAAGATCCCAAACCTAAAAACTAATTTCATTTAGAAGGATTATAGGGACCAACTCGAATTTAATCTACGGTGGATTTTGCATAGGTAGAACACAGGAGAAAACTACCCGGTGGTCTGAATTAAATTTCCTATGATTTTATCACAGATACAAGTTCAATATACTTGTAAACTGATTGACATTAGTAATCGACACGGATTAGATAGATTACCATGCTGGTATAGATTATAGGATGTCATTCTCGTATGAAGTATTGGAAAATCGTTGAACTTCTCATTGAGATATTTTCAGATCTATTGTTTGGCAGTTCTAATCAAGATTCATGCCTTGGAATCTTTTCATTTGAACAAGTTTAACGTATTATATAAAAGGCTATGGCATACCTTACAATATGATTGATATATTGGTTACAGGAAATTAAAATACCTGTTACCTGTATCGATAGTGTTCATTTTCTAAGTATCGATAGTGTTAGTTTTCTAAGTATCTCATTGCTACAATATTTCCACCATGACTTGAACTTGATCCGTATAATCGACGGATGGTTGAATTAACTTGCCGTTTGGAAGAATCAGTCGAGCATTTGGTTTTATTATGTAACTCTTTATATATTCTCTCTCTCTCTCTCTCTCTCTCTCTTTCTCTCTTCAAACATGATTTTCACTGCAATTTTAACAACTCATTTTATCAGAATTTTCCTGACCCAACATTGTGCATGAGTGTAAAGGGTGCTTTAAGATTTAATCCCTAGGAGCGCTATATCTGCCATCACCGCCAACACCTACCCCCTTCAAACATAATTAAAAAATTCAGTAATATAAAACATATTGCTAGGTGTGACCCAAGAAATTTGATTTAAATCTAAGATTGGGACCAGTGGTACTATGATACTATAGACATATTGATAAGTATATAGGTATCCATACAAACAACTCAATTCGTTTAGTACATATATCACGATAAATTCATATATCTATCTAAATACCAACCCAAAATAATTTCTATTAAAATATTTGACGAATAAACAGAAAGTCATTTGGAGTAGACCAAATATTAACTGATAATGACTTCTAATCATATAATAAATTTAACCCTACAGATAAGCGTGTTGATACTGACCCATTAGCCCAAATAAAGCCCCTCAAGATATAAGAAGTTTATCTTGTGGTATCAAGTTCCGCTTAACACGCAAATAATAGTCACCTTAAGAAAAAGGGCTATATCTATTTGTTAAGGCCATCTCAATTTTTGTCAAAGTCGTTGAGATGTAAATAGGCCTAAGGTTAAGATACGTGATTGTTAGCGAGATTGTAGGTTAGGGTTAGGGTAAGCATTAGGGCTAAGTCCAGGGTTAGGGTTAGGGTTGCGATTAGTCCTAGTCCTGTTTACATCTTGTGACCTGTGACGAAAAATTGAGCCGGCCATATCGTTTAGCTCTAACCAAGAGAGAGAGAGAGAAATGGGGTTTAACGTCCACTCGACACAAACTAGGTCATTTTGGGACTAAAATATGGTTTTTAATTTTATTTCAATAATTCGCTTGCGCGTAGGGGTCTTTAGCAGTGGAAGGAAACCGGAGGACCCGGAGAAAACCCACGAGGTTGGACAGGCGACCCTACTCCTTGTCACGTACAACCAGGGATTCGAAACCACGCCAGTCGACTCAATGACAGACTTTATGATACAGCGCGCGCACGCTAACCATTCAGCCATCCAACCCCCCCTCTAACCAAGAAATGGCATAGGTTATTCTTATTCAACATGTGAAATAAAACTATTTTGTTTGGTTAAGATATCTTATGCACATCTATTTGTATCGGTCACACATGTTGTGTAATGTGTGTATCATGTTTCCTGTGTTGATACTCAGGTATTCTATTATATCATTTTGTTAAGCCCAAAAAAACTATGATATCATTTCATTACATAAAAAAGAAAAACAACTGTGATGACCTTTCTTGTTCACTTTGGGAATCACTGTTGAAGATGTTGGCTCGCTAACCTGGACGTCCCGTGTTCGATCCCTGGATTGGATGAGAAAGTTCATCAGGATTTTCCGACGTGGTTCCCCCTTGTCAGTGGTGTAGAACGGAGGGCCTGACAAGGAAAGCTGTCTAGTCCTTCAGATGGGTCGAAAAACCAAGGTCCCGTGTATACATTTGCATGCACTTAAAAGATCCCTTGGTAGTTGGAATTCGTTATGAGAGTAGGCCATAGTTCCTCTGCCGGGGCAAAATTTCCCTCATAGCACACTGTACATGGCATATGCCCGTCTTCATTAGTCCAGTCGGAGCAGAACAGTAGGATCTTAAACTCCATTTCATTTCACTTGGAAGTGCCTGTAAAAGACCCCTTAATAAGAAAAGAGTAGAAGATACCACCAATGTTCCTCAGCTTTCTGTCTGTTTAATTAGACTTTGAGCAGGGTGTCCCTTTAGGATTGCACAATGAAAGGCACACAATTGTTGACTTTCTTGACATACACAATTACTCTCTAATGTCGTCACGCTTTCATCTTTATTGTTATTGAACGCTAATTGAAGGATACATCGTTTTTGTCAAGGAACATGGAGCTGAAGAAAGAGAGAGAGTGAGAGAGAGAGAGAGAGAGAGAGAGAGAGAGAGATGGGGTTTAACGTCCACTCGACACAAACTAGGTCATTTCGGGACTAACATATGCCTCAATTATATTTAATAATTCGCTTGCACATAGGGATCTTTAGCAATGGGAGAAAACCGGTGGACCCGAAGAAATCCCATGAGGTGGGACAGACGACCCTACTCCTTGTCAGGTACAACCGCGGAATCGAAACCACAGCATTTGAATCAATGACAGACCGTATGCTGCAACGCGGTCACGCTGACCATTCGACCACCCAACCTCACAGCTGAAGATGGTATCTAACCTTCGTCTAGATTACTATCTAAAGAACAGTTAGTTATCAGCACTTTATTTTTGTTAAATTGAAAAACTGTTTATTGGCCTTTTAATGCATTGAGAATTTTAAGCACGATATGGAACCTTAAAAGTTTTAAGTATAATATGGCTCCCCGAGTTTGTTTTATTGATATCTAACTCTTTCAGGGAACCATTAACTTCGTTGAATCTAATGAGTTTAGAGTATTAATTAATACAACAGCCAATGATCTGGAGGAGGTTTATAGGGTTAAAGCTGATTTAGATGAGCATAATGGTGGACTTTTATTACAAGTTGTAAGAATGATTTTTTTTTATTTCTGTTTTGTTTAATTCATACTTCTTTATGTTTGGCAAATCATGGTAAAGATGAAATAAAACTATGGATTACATTTTTTTTAATATTTAAACTACATTAAAGAAAGACACCATAATACTAATTTAACTATGTTTGTTATATGTACATCACATGCTTAATTTACCTCACTGGTCAGTTGCCGTAAACAGAAACAAACAATTCATTCTGCACTTTGAGAATAGATCTCTGCCCCTAATGGTCACCATTTTAAAAAATAGGTACCAGCCCTGAATGGCTACCATTTTCAAAATATAGTATATATACTATATTGTAATGCAGTTCTAATCCGTTTTACGCCTTTCTTATGGACATAGACTAAGTAAGAAAAATGCCAATGGCATTAAATCGAAGCAGTGTGTACTTCTCAAAATTCTCGAAGTTGTATTAGGGCTAGGAATGTAGGAATTAAAAGGTCTGCCAGCCAGCTTCGTGTCTGTTCCCAAAGCGGAGCTAATTGTACACAGACAGCGTAACTTTTGTATGAACACAATTTATCTAACTATATGAATAAAATCAAAGTGTATATGTTCGCTCATTACGCTTCATTTCCGCTCTCCACCCCAACATATGCGTGGTAACAAATTAAGCAGCATGACCCTGTGAATGTTTTACGGCATCAAATTTGGGTCCCGGGCGATTTTTATCCCAGACGAATTTGGGGCCCTCACGAATTTGTGTCCTGGGCGAATTTGGGCCCCTGACGAATCTGTGTCGTGTGTCAATTTGGGCCCTGGGCGAACTGGGCCCTGGTGATTCTGGGCCTCGGACAAAGCTGAGTATCCTTCTGGTATTGAATACAATGACTGGTTTATTTATTATATATGTAGCACGACATTTCGACACATGCTCTCTTTAAGAATCCTTTTTTAAATAAACAATATGATATGAAAACACTTGTTTTGTATTGTGCTCAATCGTTAATTGTCACTCAAGGATTATTCTACCATAACCATATTTTTGGCCCCAGATGAATTTGTGCCCTTGATGAATTAGGCCCTGGGCAAATTTGGGCCTGGGCAAATTTGGGTACCGGGCGAATTTGGGTCCCGGGCGAATTTGGGGATTATTATGCCTTAACCATATTGTATGTTTTTCTACAGTATGAGAAACCTGAATCGGTTGTATGGATTCAGTTAAAATGGATTATAATAGTGATTGGTGGATTAACCGGACTCGTATTTGTGGTATCCTGTGTGACAGCATTGTGTTCGTATCATTCGGAACACTCTCGTTATGATTCTATCGATAGAAAGAGTTATACTAGTGATAGCCAACGTATTGTCTTCAGGTAAAGACCAGTCTGATTAAATACAGATCTATATTTCGTTTCATTTTTTTTATACTCTCGATCGCATACACTACATGAAGATATGACCGGTTGTAGTAGGAGGTCGCGTCAGGAGTCATACAAGTAGCTTTTGACCATATAGCGTCAGCCATTTGAAATCAGTGTTGATGTTTCTAGTGGGATACCCACAGTTCCGTGCCCCACACTCCAAGAACTCACCGCAAGAGACCGTTTCATTGGCTAGAATACCTGTTATATAACAACTCTTCCAGATCCTAGTGTAGTAAAGATCAGTAAAACAAATTTTTGAACTATAAAAAATGAAACGAAATAGGGTCTGTGTTTTAATCAGATTGGGTAAAGACTTGATGAAATCATGAGATATTTCAGTCTTTGGTTTGGGTATCGCGGGTCGGAAAAGAATTGATTTGAGGTTATTAGACTACACATTTACATGTTAAAATTAGATTGGTTCTGGGGCTTTCTCTCACTTCTAAAGACCACAATCCACAAGCGAATTATTAAATAAAAAATTGTGCCATACGTTATTCCCAAAACTGCATGGTTTATGACGCTGTATTATAAATGTTTTCCCTGCCAGTTTACAGATTTGTAAATTTTATTGGTTTTTAAGAAGTTTGATGAAATTTCATGTCAAATACCTGATATTAAGTGGGCTGGGACTTATTTGGCATTTAGAAGAAGCAATGCTTATTTTATACATGGCATTATTCAAAATCAATTACATTTATATCGTAGCGAAAGTGTTAATGTCCCTTTTAACCCCTATTATGAATTATTACATGGAAATCTATCTCACTTTCTGGTAACTTTATATTTCGGCACGAATGGGTTAACATTCCCAAGTTCTAATAACCACTCAGACCAATTAACTGACTGATAATGTCATAGACTCAACTTGACAACTTGTCCAACTGATGTACATCTTCCTATACAAATGATATATGACATCCATTCATTAGAAACATTATTTCATATTTTAGTGAAAAATGAATGTGGTAGATAATTATTGTATTCCTGTAAAGTATTTTGATATCATGCTCAATAACAGTTAGGATACAGGTATTATAAAATGAAATGAAATGGGGTTTAACGTCCTACTGTTCTGCTGCAACTGGGCTAATGAAGATGGGCATACGCCATACAGTGTGCTATGAGGGAAATTTTGCCCGGGCAGCGGCACTATGGCCTACTCTTATATCGAATTCCAACTGCCAAGGGATATTTTACGTGCATGCCAATGTATACACGGAACCTCGGTTTTCCGTATTATCCGAATGACTAGACAGCTGTCCTTGCTACCGGAGCTCCGCACAGGTATTATGAGAAAAGGTGTACCTTTAAAAGTTAAAATAGGTGAGAGTGAGAAATGGGGTTTAACATCCACTTGACACAAACTAGGTCATTTCAGGACTAACATATGGTTCACTTTTATTTCAATAATTCTCTTGCGCATAAGGGTGTTTAGCAGCTTTAGCAGTTGGAGGAAACCGGAGGACCCAGAGAAAACCCACAAGGGTTAAAATAGGTAACTTGAAAAACAAAAAGGCAGCCTTACACTCTACTCGACATCATCCATAGGTCTAATGTGTTTTATTTTATCGGCAGATCAATACCGTCCAGACAATAACTGTCCAGGACCTATCACTTAAACCAAAAACAATAAAACCACAGGTCTACAAGTACAAATGTTAATTGCATGCATTAAAAAAATGAAAATATATAAGACCTTTTGTCTTTTCAATTAGATAATTAAAAACGTCTACTGAATATCTGTTTGATTCTCTCGAGACGATAGAATAATGTTATTAATGTTAATTTATAGGTCTAGAAGCAGCATGCATAGTAGTACACAGGGCGAACATATATTAAATGATGATGGAGACATCTATCAGAACGATGATACGTTAAAGAGAGTACCAGAGTTACCAGATGAAGAAGCAGCTGCTGAAGCTATTGAGATGGTTAGTTATCAGGAAATTATTATAATGGAGATAATTAATCCAAGGGTCAACTCATTTTATTCTAATGCATAATCCCACTTAAAAATACAGATGTGACGTCATCCTTTGATGTTGGCGTACCATTATTTCAAATAATCGTACGGGCAACTTGCCAATCGTACATTATCTATTCTAGATGAAATATTGGACTCGCATGACGTATTTTATTGAAAAGCATGTGCAGGATAGTGTCTGTATTTTAAATGGTTAATGGTATCGAGCTAAAGACATTGCGTATTATATTGAAACAACACTCGGCTAACGCTTCGTGCAGTATCAATTTATTACTTAATATCTCGCTCTCGACCATTAAACCATACTTATTTTAATCCGCATTATGAATCATAATTGATACGAAAAAACAATAGGAACAACTAGGTTTGTTTGTTTCGTCACTCATTTACTGTTAAACCCCACCTTCCCCACAAGATCGCTGTAGTCATTTGAGACCCTTATTGCGTCAGACATTGATTAATCAACCAGCGTTGACGTTTTAGTGGTTTACCCACAGTTCCGTGCATCGCATGCTACGAATTCGCCGTAACAGACCGTTTCATTGGCTAATCGCTCACTTCAACCAGAACGCGGGTTATATAACAACTCTTCCAGATCCTAGTGTAGTAAAGACAAGTATAACGAAATTTTGAACTATAAAAAACGAAATGAAATAGGATCTGTGTTTTAATCAGATTGCCTATATACCGTCTTGTTCCTTACTGTATGTCTTCTCCGTTTTTGTTTTCCAATTGCACTCCCGACATTTCATTGTGGTATTATCTCTAACATAAATGCTGGCTGGTGTGATTTGTGGCCACAAATTTTAACAGGTGTCATATTCAGGACAGGGTATACTTATTTGTCTCAGAATACCTAATACCACTTGCGACTTTGCCCCGGATGTTGTAGCATATTTGTCTCCGCCTTTCGAAGAAAGCAAGGAACTATTAAAATGAGTCTGTTTGTCTGTGTTTATTAGGCAAATGATTTGATGGAGTTCAAAGATGACCATTTTTGGCTTAGGGTAAGCAGAGATAAGCAATTTGATTGGTTGATGCTTTGGGACACAATAACTTTAGTTCTAATTAAGTGAGAGTGATGAAACTCCGAATATAGATTCATTATATCATTACCATTACTAAGTTCGATGGTGAAAATATTCTGCTTAGGCTAAGGAGCGATAAGCATTTTGATTGGTCAAGACTTGAGAACAGAACAACTCTGCTTTTAATAGAGGTAGAATGTTTAAACTTGATGTAGATGTTCATTAGGTGAATGTCTTGACTGAGGTCAATGGTTAATTCTGTTTAATTACAGGAGGAACTAAGAAGACAGCAGCTGAAATCAGATGATAGTGATGGTGAAAGTGACACAGAGAGTAAAAATTTAATCAAACGTAGATATCAGTCTTCGTCTAAAAAGATCCACAAAGAGATGTTTCCGAAGGAAAAGAAATCCAAAAGTCATTCCAAGACGGATAAGGAGGAATCCGCAGATTTGAAGGACTACCTTGAATATTCATCCGATGGTTCTGAATGTTCTGACAAGGAATCCAGGAACAGCAAAATACTGGACAAGAAGTTAGAGAGGCAGAGAATCGAAGGTGTCGTTATGCATCCCAGAAAAGACATGACCACTACTTTCTCTGAGAGTGAAATCAGCAGGCAGGATCAATACAATAAATATTCCCCATTTCCTGTTAGTGCCAGCATGGAACAAAATAAATTAATGGAAGCAACTCCTGGTTTAGCACGAACCACCCCAAAAGAGAATCTGGGCAGTACAAATTCTCAGACAACAGATGATGGAGCTTATCCGTTTCTTGTCCAGGCAGATGTGCATCTTCAGTCCCCTAAAACATCATTGAATAGATCGTCAACTCCTGTGGCAACATCCTCCCCAATGTCAACCTTTAAAAATCCTGGTAGAAAGGTAGCATTTGCTGACCCCGATTCAAAATCAGGGAACCAAGATGACTCAAAATCAAGCATCAACTTTCAAGATGTTTTTGACAAATTTTTGTTAGGACCAGATGGAAATATGAGTCAGATACCCGAGGAAAATCAAGATGCGGACAGCGCACACAGTTCCACTAACCAATCGCTATATAGCGGAAGTGATCTTGTTGACAATCCACACAGACTATATGTGAATATTGGGGATTCGGGTTCAAACCCAGAGTCCAAAGGTGGTTTTAGAAACACAAGACCTATCCTACCGCCTTCTTTGGTGGCTGGAGCCAGGCGGCCGATGGATTCATCTGGTAGTTCTTTAAACAGTGGATCGGCGTCTTCCCTTCCACAACAACTAGGACGAAATAATCAACCAAGGCTCAACACATTTGGATCATCAAAACCGTGGGCGCCACTTAGAACTCATGATCAGAGACCCTCTTTGGACTCTGGCATCACATCATCTAATGGTACCATAGGTCAGTATTCAGCATCTTCAGATGCTGGTAACTCATCACCACCTTTACCTCCTCCTCCAGATGGGTATGAGGAGGAAAGTGGTATGCAGTTTGATTTCCCTTCCCCGCCACAGATGTATTCTCCTGGTAGTATTGATCAAGAAGAAGTAAGATACCAGAACACTCCTGCCAGAGATAATAAAAAGGGGAATGGTCAAAGAGGTGGTGGAAAAGGAAGCAAGCTGTAAGTTATATTAACAATTGTCTTAAATTTGTTTCACAGTAAGTGAGACCAGAACTCTTATATCATGCAACCTCATATCATTCTGTGACTTCAACATACATTATGTAATAGGTAAATCTGCATGTTGCAGGTCTTTCTTTAAGCACAAAATATTATATAAACTATTAATTAGATATTTATTAACATGAAAAGACGATAATCAACTCTCGATGACATCTTATCTGTCCGATTTTCATTGGATTTGAAGCCAATCTGCTGTTCAACATCTGTTGATGATTAAACGCAAAAATGGATAATCAAGACTATTGTTATAGTGCTATAACAATGACAATCGAGGCCTCAAAGATTTTAAAATAAGGTTTTCTCGCCTTAGAGTGAAGCAATTTGACTGAAATTTTCAGCATTTTCCTTTTACATCATCTATTATAATAGTGGGAACTTCAGCTCTGTATCTGATCTTCCATAATGTATGTTTAAGTTTTATTTTTCCCGGTTGTGTTTCAGAGCTCATATGACGTTCCTATCCATAACGTGTGTATTAGGTTTGATGACTGGTGTTTATTGTGTGAAGGATACGTCAGATGCTAGAGTAGATATAACAATATATACACCCAGAGATTATCTCTCTAATACATCTACGATATTCCTTAATATAGATAAAGATGGGGAAGTTATAAATGCTTTAAATATTCCATTACAACAATACAGTAAGTAGCTTTTGTCATATCGGGGTTAAAAGTATACATTTCTTGACCAGAGTGTGCCATCTCATAATTGGACATGTTGCCTGAACATCGCATCTTGATAAAAGAGTCATGGCACGATCGAGATGTTCCACTCTAAATATCATACGAACAGTTTCAGCACGATCTTATATAGTATTTCTCATCTTGAGCCAACCAGATGACGAGTTTGGACACAACGTCAATATGATAATAACAAGATCTAGTAGAAAGTCAAGATGGATGTTGGCTGACATAATCCCGTTTACAGTACAAATTTTAAGCGTGCCAATCACGGTACCAGGCACGACACGTTTAATTCTTTTGGTAGTGTAAACGGGTCAAACATAAGCGTGCCGTACTGAGTACTGTGCCAATTGGGCCCACTGAAGTGAGGTGGTCATGGCATGGTTAAATTTTTGTAGTATAAACTGTATTCTGTCTGAGAACGGTCCTCGGTGCGGATTACTGCGCATGCGCCATATGAAGCTTGACCATTTGTCCTGGTAAATTGTATAAGGACTGAAATTAACTTTTCTTTGAAGAGTTCCACATTTGGTGTGCCGGTGATTTTAGAGTAATGTAAACGGGTCAATTTCTTGAAATTTATCGCGATCTGATACCATGACGAGAATCGCACACTTATCGCGGCCAAGTGTAAACGAGGCTATATCGGCTATACATTCATACGCTATCTATTTCTCTGTTCGAAGATGTTATGGGGGAATAAGGGGAATCGTTGTCGCTTTGTACATAAATTTATACTATTCTATTTTGTTATATTTTTTTTTACAGATATTAAAAATCCAATTTTAAAGGATATGTATTCTGATCTATGTATGGAGCATGATTGTGAACAAGGCTGTGATATACAAACTGGTGAATGTATATGTAAAAAGGGTTATAAACTGGATGCAGCCGGACAGTGTATTGGTAAGTTTGTCATTTTAATCAGATTAAAATACACATCTGTAGATCTGTTACCACTGTTTGTCGTTTATTTTGTACACGGTGAACAGTCCATTTGCTGATTACAATAATCCGTTGGTTTTTTTTACTTCAAATTTTGTCTAATGGATTGTAACAGTATGAAATATTTTGCCCGTAATATATATTCTGACTATAATCTGACTCGAAACCATTTTTTTAACAAATTTACAACCTAACCATTGTAATATTGTATTGTAATGATATTTTTATAACAGATTTAGAGCCTAACCAATGAATATTGTATTGTAATTATATTTTTCTAACAGATTTAGAGCCTAACCATTGAATATTATATTGTAATTATATATTTTTGACTTGTAGATATCAATGAATGTATGGAGGGAAGAGCCTAAGCATTGAATATTTTATTGTTATTATATAACTGATTTGTAGATATCAATGAATGGGAGGGAAGGAGGAGCAAGCGAGTCTAGCCATTGAATAAAATATTGTAATTATATATTTTTGAATTGTAGATATCAATGAATGTATGGAGGGCGGAGCGAGATGTCACAAAGATGCTGGTTGTTTAAATAATAAAGGATCGTATAACTGTATCTGTAGTGGAGAATTTTATGGTGATGGTAAAAACTGTCGAGGTACGTTCAAGTTCATTAATGCCAAATTCCCATTGATCAAATCACTAAATTTAATTTTGCTAGGGTTTCCTTCACATTTTTCGACATTATGCTCTTGAAGGGATAAATCTATTTGTTAATGCCAGCTCAATTTTTGTCAAGGTCGTTGAAATGTAAATAAGGTTAGGGCACGTGATTGTTGGCAAGATTGTAGGTTAGGGTTAGAGTAAGCATTAGGACTAGGTCCATGGTTGGGGTTAGGGTTGGGATAATCGCCAGTCCTGTTTACATCTCGTGATTTATGACGAAAAATTGAGCTGGCCTTATCATTTAGCACCAACCACTCTTGGGGTCGTTGGCATATTTAATACTTCACAGCTTTTATTAATCCATTGTCTGTTGAAAAATCATTTTCATCATATATATATCTTCTTTGAGCAGCATTTAGCAACCGACACACCATATAAATACAAAAACATAATATGGAACATAATTACTATTTTAATTAAAATGATGTTTTGTTGAGGGTTTTCTCAACGTTGATTTTGTGTTTATTATGTATATATGTTTATGAACATATTTTATAATGTCATAGTATCGCAACCGCCGGTTCTATACACAATGCTTGAGTATGTTATTTTAGAAGCTTAATGTTTCAAGATCAACGTTTTGGGTTTTCAGTGTAGTTGATACTGTACGACGCACTGTTTCACTGAAAATGACACCATATCGCAACCGCCGATTCTTTACACGATTTCTCAGTGTTATTTTAGAAGCTTAATGTTTCAAGGAGATCAACGTTTTTGGTTTTCCCAGTAGCTGATACCACACGACCTGCTGTTTCATTGAAAATATCTTATAAGGGCATGGTATCACAACCAGCTATTCTACACACAATGCTACAGTGGATAATTTAATAAACTTTATGTTTCAATGTCAATGTTTTCGTGTTTTTTTTACCATCCTCATTAGCCCAGTCGGAGCAGAACAGTAGGACGTTAAACCCTATTCCGGAATTTTGAGCTTTCACTGTAACTGATACTGCATGACCCGCTGTTTTAGGTTACTGCATGTATGTTTTATAGGCACTGAATGTTATATATATTTTACAGAATGTAAAGCTCCCTGTGTACGAGGGACGTACGAATATCAGTCATGTGATCAAATCAAACAAAAGATATGTCGAGGTATTGTTCATGTTATATATACTTTCTTACAATCCGATTAAAATACACATCTATATTTCATTTCGTTTTATTTATACGTTCGATGGCCTACACTACATGAAGATCTGACCGGTTGAAATGGAAGGTCGTGTCAGAGGGCATACGAGAGGCTTTTGACCCTATGACATCAGACATTTTATTAACCAATCAGCGTTGATGTTTCTAGTGGGTTACGCACAGTTTCGAGCACCTCACGCCCAACACTCGCTGTAACAGACTGTTCCATTGGCTAATCCCTCACATCATCCAGAACGTGGGTTATATAACAACTCTTCCAGATCCTAGTGTAGTAAAGTAAAACAAAATTTTAAACTATAAAAACCGTAACGAAATAGGATCTGTGTTTTAATCAGATTGACTTTTTTAGATTATTTATTTGTTCATTTTTTTTTATATTGTCCTATTATATATATATAGTAGTGTTTGAATTACGTTTAGCGATTTAGTAATTTTAAGAAAACATTGTATGGATAAAAGCTGTCCGTCCATACACACCATAACGTTTCAGTTTATTACAGAATCGTTATTGATTATTATTAAAAACAATTTGCATAGTTAATCATATTTAGTTAAGAGCTAAATCTGTCTATTGCAGGTCTTTCTTTAGGCCCGAGATGTTATCTAAATTATTAATTAGACATTGATTAACTTATCCAAAGTATAATCAACTCTCAATGGCATTGGATTTCTCTGATGTTAAATACTATAAATACTATAAAGATAACATTTTTCTGGAATAAGTGTCATATTATTCTACCTAATAACGATTGTGTAATGAATTGAAATGTATTGGTATGTATTACATCACAGGTATAACGTTTCCATACAATGTGTTCGTAGTATTATATATCAATTTCCATTTTATCGGAATCACTATGAAGGAATATTTTCAAAGCGTGATCAACATGGACACCCCAAACCCCGGACAGAAACAGGAAGTGTTCATGCGGATAGCGCAAAATCTAGTTTGACAACATGTTATCAAGGTGTTGTAGGATGCTATAAAACTATTTTGGCTTGCCGAACGATTATGATCGTCTCCCATAAATTAAAAAGGAATTAACTGGTCGTTTGACAGCAATATTGGGTATATAATTTCTAAATCATAACCCTTTTTTACAATAATATTTGACTTTTTATGTCACTATGCACATTCGATATTCCCCCACACCCACACCATCTTGTAGTCTTCAATCAATGATTTAAATAGAAGTTTACTTAGAATTTTAATTATACAACATTCTATACACATTTGATCATTCTGTAGACATAGAACTCTCTACTCTGAGATCAGATCTCAGCTCTGAATGGCCGCCATTTTTCAAAATTAGAATACTATTTTTTATCTTTATATCTTTCAAATCTATTAAATATAAGCAGAATGAATACTTCTCCAAATTTATAAAGATATTTAGTGTTTTCGTCAAAAAATCGTCGATTTAGGTACTAAATTAATGTCTGAGTTAATTGTAGACAGTGTAAGTCTACTTTAGATAAGGTCAGACTCTATGTAATATTTGAAGATAGGCAAAAAAACAAAATTGATTCACTTTTAATCTGTGACAATTGAGATATGCATGTTAACGAAATTGTGAAACGTGAATGAAATGTGTTTTTAATCTGATAATTTAAAAGGTTTGGTTTATTTGTTATAGTAATTTATGTTGTGAATATACAAGTCAATATATCGTGAAGTGGTTGTATAGTCTAATTACTTAGTTACTGGACTATTTGTGACATTAGATTAAAATACAAGTGTATCCAGTCACATAAATTATAATCAATCTACACACCTGTACACGAATAACTGAGATTATAATAAAGTACAGGTGTTCGGTACCTATACGTGGTCAACTGTCTGTAGATATGATGTGCTGTATAATAATAAGTTATAGTCTAGACTCTCTTGCCCAGAGAGGGACTTATTGAAAGTTGATCAAACGCTATGACGCGCTTTGGGTCATGCGTGTAGAGAAATGGCTTTAGAGAAAAAAAATTTTTTCGCCATTCCCGCCCCCCCCTGCCCGCCTCAAGTGTTACGCGAGTGCGGTGTTCAACATATTTGGCACTGCACTTCGATCGGCTCACGGTTACCATGGCTCAGATATGTTACAAAAAGACTCCAGCATACGCCCCGACCCACCCTCCACCCCCAGCACCCTATTGTCCATCTCTGTCCCACAAGATTGTGTATCTCAAGCTAAATCAGCGTTCACCATAGGGAATCAAACCGTCTGTTACATGCTATCAGCGTTCACCATAGGGAATCAAACCGTGTGTTACATGCAATCAACCATGGATACACACAATATTTAGTTGAAAAAAATATGGTCCAAACTCTCTATTGTGCCCTTAAGTAAAAGAAAATGCTTTCTTATTTTTGTTTCTAAATACTTTTACCTGTTTTGTCACTTCACTTAGATTTTGATATTTAAATCCACTGCTTTAAAATATTCACGCACCATTTTTGCTTTTAATTTGAATTTTTCAGCTTGTAAAGCATCTTGTCCAAGGGGATTTTTTATGAACAAAAGATGCGATATGAAGCATAACGCAGAGTGCAAAGGTCAGTTGGGTTAGACCAAGGTCATATCTTTAAACATTTACATTTAAACATGTCGTTAGTATGTTACCAAAATCATTTAAACATGTCATTAGTATGTTACCAAACTCGTTTAAACATGTTGTTAGTGTGTTACCAAACTCATTTAAACATCTCGGTTACTAAACTCATTTAAACATGTCGTTAGTCTGTTACCAAACTCGTTTAAACATCTCGTTAGTATGTTACCAAACTCATTTAAACATCTCATGTTACCAAACTCATTTAAACATCTGGTTAGTATGTTACCAAACTCATTTAAACATCTCAGTTACCAAACTCATTTTGAGACTAAGATATGTTTTATATTTGCTATGTTCAAAGGAGAATAAGTTGACCCGACAACCCTTGAAATTCAACTGCGAAGGGTTCAGTAAATGTGTACGCCCATGTGCGCACAGCATCTATTTTGCTTATCCACGACAGCATTAGGAAATTGCAAGGCTTTGGGCGCCTTGTTGCCTGACGCTAAGTTCCAATTTGTATTAAAATATTTATGTTATGAAAAAGGATGAAGAAGTTAATCTTCTCATCCACAGTTTTTTTATCATCATTTTATTTATTTGTTTTTTTGGCTACACATGGTAGAATTTGTTTTTTTTATTACTCAATTTTTGACCACCATCCCACTTATGACACATTATTCCCAGCACATTTTGATATTCACCCACTTTAATTGCCATCCGCCTAAATAAAATCTTCAAAATGTAAGATCCAGTGTACCCAAAGAATTATTTGTGGCCAACACGGGCTCACACTCTCCCGATTTTCGGCCAACGGCCATGGTTTGGTTTGTCGGCAATAGAGGCGCATAAGAGTCGCCCATATCAAGGATACTTATTTAATATTTCGGTCAAATTGTCATCTTTATAAAACTGAACATGATGAACTCCCTAAATAAACAGAAAGCAGTCATGAAATAGCAATGTCAACCTGATGAGTTGTTGGTAATAATCGACCAGCGCCTTACGCTGAGGTCCCAATGGGCATTTTTTTGCTTCGAGATGTACTACCGATGGAAATTGATGAGCCTCCAGAGACGTCGGGAACAGGTCCCCTGTGTCCCGGGGAAGCTTCTGGAGTGTGGCAACCACGTGGAATCATCGGGAGAAAATTTGTTTATATCTGCATCGCCGATACTTTTTATCCCAGTGGGATCTAGGCATTACATGTAGCCGAAAAGACATCACCAACGACTTTCGGATCATATTTGTGAGCAATGGACTATCCCAGTAAGAGAATTAATGGCATGTACTTGCCTAACTTGTAGGAAATTTTTTATAGTTATAAACATTAAAACGTGGTTGTATATTGTTGTCACACCTGTTTGTCCGTTGATCTGTCATCCACATTTGCTTGTGGACGCTCTAGAGTCTTAAGTGTGTTTAACGTCCACTCGACACAAACTAGATTATTTCGGGACTAACATATGGTTAAATTTTATTTAAAAAAAAACGGAGGACCCGGCGAAAACTCACGAGGCTGGAATGGCGACTATACCCCTTGTCACGTACTACCGGGGAATTGAAACCATGCCAGCAACCCCCCGTGTCTATTAAAACTCGAACATCTAAAGTTATCATCTGATCACCCGTATAGTAAATGTTAGCACTAGCAAGAACTAAACGCAAACACTTGGGATAGCTGCCTACAATAACATTGTGGATTGATACTCGTGATCAGTTTATTGTTAGCAGTAAATGCTCACATTACCTACAAAAGTATAAATATGCGACAATCTTTGTGAGCAATTTATTGCGTCTCGTAAATGCTCACATTAACTACAAAAGAATAAATATGCGACATTGTTTCTCGCAAATGCTCACATTAACTACAAAATATGCGACAACCTTTGTGAGCAGTTGATTGTGTTTCATAATTAACTACAAAAGAACAAATATGCGACAGCCTTTGCGAGCTGTCGAACTACTTCGCTGCGGTGGGCGTATGTTTCGTTGTCTGGCAACCTATCTGTTTTATTTTTATTGATTCAATGCATGTATGTATAATTTATAACAGGGCAGACTGAACTATGTTGTGCTGTTTTTAAAGCAGATGTTGTTTAGGCTATTTCAGAAATCAATGTTTTGTTTGTTTTTTTTATATATAAAATATTTAATAACTGCATCGTAATGATTGCCTGATTGTTGATAGTAGTGTCTCTATGTTTATAGACGTGTCAGGGTTATTTTGTCCACGTTTTTTTTCAGTTTGTAAACCTAGTAAATGTTCTGAATCAGATTTTGAATACAGAATGTGTACCAATAGACAGGACAGGGAATGTCGAGGTAGGCTCCCTTTTAGTTTTTAGTTACCGGTGCATGTTCCAAGCATTTGATTCGTCTAATGTCGTCTCAATCTGATTAAAATACAGATCCTGTTTCGTTTCGTTTTTTTATATTCAAAATTTCGTTTTACTTGTCTTTACTACACTAGGATCTGGAAGAGTTATTATATTACCAGCATTCTGGTTAAAGTGAGGGATTAATCAATGAAACGGTCTGATACGGCGAGTTCTTGGCATGCGATGCACGGAACTGTTAGTAAACCACTAGAAACGTCAACCCTGATTGATTAATAAATGTCTGACGTCATAGGGTCAAAAGCCACTCGTACGACACCTGACGCGACCTTCCAGTACAATCAGTCAGATCTTCATGTAGTAGAGGCCATCGAAAATATAAAAAAACGAAACCAAATATAAATCTGTGTTTTAATTAGATTGATGTCTTCTCTTATAGTTTTAAAGGAAATGTTGCTGATTTAAATGTGGCCTTAGGCTTATGATATGTATGCTAATTTAGTGAAATTGAATTATCCGAATGTTTTTATTGACAAATTTACCATTTTTGAAATTTAGGGCATTGAATCATTAGCTGATTTTCTGAATTATACAGAAGTGCATGTCGGTTTTGCCTCGATAAAATAGAATTCAATATTTCATTTTTAGTCAGCTTCTGTAAAATGATATATATTGGCCTCAATTGTTAATTGCAGGAAACAATTAATTTGAATTTCTATTTTAAGCTTTAATTTAATGATTTTATGAATCATGGATCTCAGTTGTTAAATATCTAGATATCCTAGAACAGTGATTTTCAACCAGTGTGCCGCCAGATCTTCCTAAGTGTGCCGCAAAATTTTGAACAGCACACTAAGAAAATGCAAAAAACCATGTGATTCCAATTCCCCCGTCAAAAGTCAAAACCTAGTAACTCACTTTTTTTTATCAAAATTGAGTTAGGACCAAATTTGTAGTTACTAGGGTATATGCTTCCTGTTGTTGTACTAGATATTCCAATCTTTTGATTTTGTAAGCAGTTACACCCATGACAACCTAGCAACGTCCTTTATTTGCCTAGTATGCCACAGAAAAACCTAATAACTCAATAGTCAGATCAATGGATAAGCTGGAGTTTAATATTCATTCATTACGTTTTCCTTTCTTTTCTCAAAATAAGAAAAACGTGAGTTACTAGGTGTTGCCCTTTGACAGGAGAATTGAGTTTTACTGGTGTCTACTGACAAGGTCATAGCTGTGTTTTCTTAATTTAGTTTGATTGATTCTATGTGTCTATGACTAGTTTCTGTCTACGGTTGTATGCCATCTTACTTACCATGTTTTTATTTTCCAAAATTCAAATATTTTTCATATATATTTAGCCAGGTGTGCGGCTATTTTTTCTGGTATTCCAAGGTGTGCCGTTGGCAAAAAAAGGTTGAGAACCACTGTCCTAGTACCTGGTATTTAGTACAAGGTTATGTGGCATTTCCCCCTGTGAAAATCTCACTGTACGCCATTGTTATTTTCTTGATGTTTTTTTCTGTTCTCAGATAGGAGTATTTTGCAACCACCTGTTGGATCTAAAAACACCATCATAGAACGTTTACGGGGTATCGAAGATGACACAAAGAAAATTGAATATCTACGACCATCTGATTTTATTGGTTTGAGAACCTATACTTTTGATAGAGGTGAGTGATACGTTATTAATATAGACCTTAGTGTTGGTTCCTTTTCACAGTAGTTTTGCTCAGATACGTCGAGAACAAGGTCGAACATCGGCTGAAAAATACATCTTTGTTCCTTTGATACTTTCAACATTGGACGGGAGGATGTGGGGGAGGATAATCGAATGGTTAGCACATGTGCGCTGTATCATAAGGTCTGTCATTGAGATTGAGTCAACTGGCGTGGTTTCAATTCCCTGGTTGTACGTGACAAGGAGTAGGGTCGCCTATCCAAACTTTTAGGATTTCTCCCAGTCCTCCGGTTTCCTCCCACTCCCACTTCTAAAGACCCCTACGCGCAAGCGAATTGTTGAAATAAAATTGAACCATGTGTTGGACTATAATTTTAGAAAAAGCACTTTCATGACTTAGGAAAATGTATGAATTCTGTATTAATATAGAAAAATGTTTTACCCAATTCAGAATTCTTTTGTTGTTGTTAACAGGATTGGGGTTAAAGGTTGAAGTTCGACTTACGTCACTACAGGCGTCTCAGCTGTTTGTACCGGTGAATTACAGTAGTCATCAGAGTGATGGCCTGCCACCAGGAGCTAAACTTGAAGATTTTAGACGATATTGTCCACACCCTGTACCTAGCTACTATAAACTCTTCTATGAAAAACACCGTGTAAGGCTCTTCCATGATTTAATTCAGTGTGACGTAGGAGCAAAATGGGGTGTCATGTTTTCTTCCAGATCGTGGTGGCTCAGTTATTAAGACATTATTGGCCGAGAAAGTCCATCAGGATTTTCCGGAATGGTTCCCCCTTGTCAGTGGTAAAGGACAGTAATCATTTTGAAAGTTCAGAGCTGAAAAACGACATCTGTGGATTATTCTGGCGCAGTTTACATAGGAGTTTATTTGGCTATGCGCAGTTTGTTTTTTTCGCATGAAAACTCGGCACTAGGAAGATAAAACGCAACTTTTGTTACAATAATATTTGAATTATAATTCAAATTCTATCACCACATCAACATCAAAACTCAAATTCTATCAGTTACAAGGGTACAAAATAAAAGAAAAATCTGATTATTGTCTTTTAAAGTTTCTTTAGGGAGTGAGTCTGGAGGTTGAGACTAGAAAAATAGGCCAGGTATTTCTATTTGGCGGTCAAGGGCTTAGCTGATCGGATATCAATCCTACTGAAAAACCTGAGTGAGCTGATACGACTGGCGCTCACTCGACTCATCTGAGGGAGTCGATAGAGAGAGCCAGCTGATCTGATCTGTGCAACTGACCATCACAGGAGGAAACACTCATTAGGGGTCAGGAAGCATCGCTACCTAAACACTTTTTCAGAGCACTACACCATTTTCTTCAGAGCACGGTTTTCTTATTTTCGAAACCCGGATTTTTCATTTCGAAGCACATTCATGCACCAAGGCACGTTATTTTAGGCCCTAGGCCCTGTAGATAAAATCAAAATTTTAGTAGATGCTTCAATTTTGATTGGCTAAGCACTAAAATCAACCCAGTATTATCCAATCAAATTACTAAAATTTGGATTTTATCTTAGTTAGAATTTCGTGAAACAAGCCCCTGGCCTATTATCTGAATTGCTTGATTTCTAAATTTGTATAATTGTAAATCTTTACAGAATATAACGTACAGAATAGACGAAAATAACCAGGTACAACCATGTGAAACATATAAGATGTTTGGTAAATTTCCAACGGCCAGAAATCTAAAAGAACAGTCTTTTCTAGCCGTAGAACCTGGACCTATAACAAACATATTCGAGATTAATCCCACATATTTTAAATATTCTACTATATGGGTTCACAAATCGAAAAGGTGAGAATAACTGTTGATTTTAGACTACAGTGGTCATGGGTTGGGGCTAGGGGGCCGAATGGTCTACAGGGTGAGATTTAGATCACAAGATATGTCATTGAACCAAGCGGCATGGTTTCGATTCCCCGCTTGTATGTGCCAATAATTGGGTCTTATCTGGGTCCTCCAGTTGCCTCCCCTCCACTGCTAAAGACAGCTACGTGAATTATTGAAATACAATTGAACCTTATGTTAGTCCCGAAATGTCCCAGCTTGTGTTGAGTGGACGTCAAACCCCAATTCGCTCTCTCTCTCTGTCCGACTTTTCCTAGAATTAAATGGGATTTAATACTTCGGTCATTTTTGAGACGACCATATTGCATTTTTTATTTTATTTCTATGTAGGAGAATTTTGCTTGAGTAGCAATGTTTCCTCGCACTCTCCTTCTAGATATATGTTGTTGTATAATTATGCTGTATAATTATTGTTTTGTATAATGTTATTGTATAATGTTGTTGTATAATTATGCTGTATAATTATTGTTGTTGTTGTATATTGTTGTTGTATAATTATGCTGTGTAATTATTGTTTTTTTATAATATTGTTGTATAATTATAGATGTATGAGATATAGTGATGGGTGTGATAATTGTACCATCCAGTGTGTAGTTCAGATGAAGAATACCGAAGATTGTAAAGTAAAGGGGGATGATAATGATAATGGTTGGTCACCCAGATTAAGAGTATGTTATAATTGTTGTGCTCGTACAAACTGTACAGATAACTGTAAAGAATATCACAAGAAACATTGTCAATCAAAGAAGTAAGTAAAACATTTTATATTCACCTTTAGTGTTAGTTTAGTATTCATTTTGAATGAAGTCTGTATCATTACAGGGACTGTACAGCGCAGTGTCCGCTGGATCCATTTATCTAATCTGATATGTACTTTTGTTGTTTGTTGTGTCGGGGGGGGGGGGGGATAGCCGAATGTCTGTCATTTAGTCACCTGGCATGGTTTCAATTCTCCGGTTGTACGTGGCTAGGAGTAGGGTCGCCTGTCCAACCTCGTGGGTTTTCTCCGGGTCCTCCAGTTTCCTCCCACTGCTAAAGACCCCTACGCGCATGCGAATTAATTAAATAAAATTGAACCATGTGTTAGACCTGAAATGACCTAATTTGTGACGAGTGGATGGTAAACCCTCTCTCTCTCTGTCTCTGTCTCTCTCTCTTTCTCTCTCTCACCATGATCTAATAGGGCCACTGAGCATTAGTATCATTCATTGTCTTTATAATTTTATTAAAAGGGAGCTAACTCTATTTATTTCAGTGTTGAATGTCGTCGAGGAACAGTGGTCGAGTTCAGAATACAGCCACAATGGAATACATCGCAAGCTAATTATTTTTTCTGTCACGTACAACCTAAAAAACAGCAGAAACTTCTCAAATTAAACTACGTTGTTCTGTATAAAGGCAACGCTCTCCATTATAAAGAAATTGAGTTAAATGGTGATCTCAAGTGGGAAACAGAAGGAAAAATGATTCATAAGTAAGTGTGTAATATATTAGGGTTGTAGATGGCTATAGCTATTTGTTAAGGCCAGCTCAATTTTTGTCAAGGTCACTGAGATATAAATAAGCTTAGGGCAAATGATTGTTGGCGATTGTATAGGGTTGGAATTAGTGCTAGCCCTATTTACATCTTGTGACCTATGACGAAAAATTGAGCTGGCCTTATCATTTAGCACTAACTGGTTGTGGATGAAATGAATCGGCTTTTATTGTTACGTGCGGTCGGATTGTGTGTTTGTGATAATGACACATATGTCAATATAGATAGATTGCGGCCAATTTTTTCTGGTGACTTTACAAGGGGAGATGCTCGCTTGTCAGTCCAGACGTTACCGAATTGACAGAATTGCAATAAGAGTGACGCGGAATTCAGTCCTGTCACAGTTCTGTCAGTCCAGACAACGGAGGCGGTGCTAGTAGAATCTTAACGTAATTAAACCCAACAAATATGTTTTGGCTACATGGTTGGTTGAGATATTTTCTTAATCAGTTGATGCGTGCATTGTACACTGAAATCCCCCTTTTAACTCGATTGTCACTATTTTTGGGATTGAGAGAATTCAACCAAGTAACCCCAAGGTTTTCGAGCAAAGGGTAACTACTCTGTACACAGATATTGCAGGGAAAGCACCGATTGAAGACACACTTACACTATGAGAGTTGTTATAACAAAATATAAGCATATCTCTTGAAATCTTAAAAAATTAAACAGAACCCACCCAGATTGACACGAAATAACAACAGTGAGGTCAGTGTCAGAAATTCTGCATTAAAGGAACCAATATGCAATTAAGTCTCTGTTTTGTATCTTGCCTAGCCTCAGTTTTAAATAATTTTTATTTTACAGAGATGGTATCTTATCCATATTGGTTGATGCTAAAATCAACAACATGCCAAATTTCCTAGAAGGGGAGTTTGCTGGTAATAAAGAATTATTTCGTGTAGGAGTTTATAAAAACGGTGGATCTACTGTTCAATCAACAGTTATAAATGGACAGTCTATATTAGTTCGACCAACAAAACCATTCGGTCTTGTAGGAATATCAACAGGTATTATTTTTATTTAAGCATTGGTGGGGGGGGGGGGGGCGGTGTTGGATGTCCGAATGTCCTGGATAAGAAACACAATTGTGTAATTCAACAAAAATAGCGGAGTTGGATGGCCGAATGGTTAGCACGTGCGTGCTGTATCATACGGTCTGTCATTGAGTCAACTAGCGTGGTTTTGATTCCCCGTTTGTACATGACAAAGAGTAGGGTCGCCTGTCGAACCTCGTGGGTTTTCTCCGGGTCCTCCGGTTTCCTCCCACTGCTAAAGACCCCTGCGCACAAGCGAATTATTGAAATAAAATTGAACTATGTGTTAGTCCCGAAATGACCTAGTTTGTGTCGAGTGGACGTTAAACCATATTTCTCTCTCTCTCTCTATTTAAGCATTATAATTTGATCTCAATAATTACAATAATTCGTTTGCGTGCAAGGGTCTTTAGCAGTGGGGGAGAAACCAGAAGACTCAGAGAAAACCCACGAGGTTGGACGGATGCTTCAGGTAAAGACCAATCTGTTTAAAATACAGATCTATATTTGGTTTCGTTTTTTATACTTTCGATGGCCTCTACATGAAGATCTGACCAGTTGTAATGGGAGGTCGCGTCAGGGGTCATACGAGCGGACTTTGACACTATGGCATCAGACTTTTAATTAACTTATCAATGTGATGTTTATACTGGGATACCCACAGTTCCGTGCAACGCATGTCAAGGACTCGCCGTAACAGGCCGTTTCATTGGCTAATCCCTCACTCAATCAGAATGTGGGTTATATAACAACTCTTCCAGATCCTAGTGTAGTAAAGACAAGTAAAACGAAATTTTAAACTATAAAAACGAAACGAAATAGGATTTGTGGTTTAATCAGATTGTATGAATATCAGCAGGTCTCATGAACCCAATCGTTGCCAGGTCATCCCTTTTTGCACCACTGGCCCCAGTTTTTCGACGACGACCCTCCTTCCGAACGAATAGACACTTTGTGATTAATTTGCTGTTTGAAGGCTTTCGGTTATGACCAATACGAATGAAGTGTACATTATTAAAAAAACACAACACAATTTATATGGAAACCAATCACTGGTTTATACACATATAGCACGACGTTTCGACAAATATTCTCTTATCGTTTTCAAGTACAAAATGTGAAGAGAATACTTGTTGAAACGTGGTGCTATATGTGTATAAACCAGTGAATGTTCTCCATATAAATTCTGGTATGTTTTTAATGTGCTCAATCACTAAATGAAACTCAAGGATTGTACGTTATTTGCCGATGGTCGAGATAACATGATTCGACTGTACTTTTATTTCAGGAACAGAAGCTTTCAATGCATTACTGAATTCAACCGTGGCTACCGAGAGAGAAGTACCATATGAATCTAACCCCGATCTCATGGTGGTTACAGTAGAAAATGCTTCATATCCATACATCGTCACCCATAAAAATGGCGCACCTCTACTGAAACTCGGTCTTTCGAAGACTGTGTCCCTCCTAAACAGTATTTACGCCATGGGTTCATTGAAAAGAAAAAGTCTGGATGGTGATATTAAATATAATGGTACTCATTGGCTAGTTGATATGAAGGGACGACTGCACGATTGTCCAGGTAAATAATGTGGTTTTATTTTAGCAGGATTGGTATAGCCATTGATTGAAGCCATTCGTTAGAATGGTTATAAAAGTTACCGTCGATCCAGATTAAATTGCTTGATTAGATTTGTCCCTACTGGCTTGCCAATGTCCATTGTATGTTTTCTTGGCTGTACGTATGTTTCCCTTAGACGTTTTCCAGTTCAGTTTTGTTTCATTGGTGGTTGTGTTATGTGGTCTTTTGGTTGCTATGGCAACATATGTAGCATTCATGCGTAACTTGTATTAAAAAAGAACCAAACACATTCTGAGTGAATTTAAGGCCAATATAATTTAAGAGAAAATGACAATTAGATCCGTTTATTTTTCTATTTTTCAATAACATGAAATAAAAAAAAGAAAATAAATTGATAACAGATCCCATTAAAATTATAGTCGTATACAATAAATGGCTATTTATTATTATTTCAGGTTTATTACAATTTGAACTGATTAATCCAGACTATCCATCAGAACCATTATACCAGTGCGATGTTGGTGTTCAGTGTCCTAAAACCTTCAGTATACAGTTTGCTGTTCCATCAGGTGATGATGGTGATGTAGAGAAGGAGATGACTGTATCTGTAACAGACAATACGAACTCCTATCATATACGTCTACTAAAACCTGGACAGACACAAACAGATGCACTGGAAGATTCCGATACTGTTGGTAAGAAAGAGACTCGTGGAAATCTTCCATAAAAAGAGAGAGAGAAATGGGGTTTGACTTCCACTCGACACAAACTAAGTCATTTCGGGACTAACACATGGTTCAATTTTATTTCCATAATTCGCTTGCGTGTAGGGGTCTTTAGCAGTGGGAGGAAACCGGAGGACCCGGAGAAAACCCACGAGGTTGGACAGGCGACCCTACTCCCTGTCACGTACAACCGGGGAATTGAAATCACGCCGACAATTGCCATTTTTATCATGATACATAACCAAATCTTTTAACCCCTGCCCCCCCCCTCCCCGGCGATAAAGAATCCTGGGTATATTTTGAGAACTATAGCTGGCATTGTCTATGGTTGGTTGTAAGAAAGAGACTCCGCCAGAAAATTCTAGGCCCATTTTGATGGCTTATAACCATCATTGTCTGTAATCTTAATTTTTTTACCAGAAGGCCAAAAGTCATAAGGGTGGAAATGGTTTCTTTAAATGGTAATCCAGACAATTAAATCACAAAACCTAGGTTAGATGCCATCTGGACCTGGTTGTTCATGTACATAAATGAATTATTCTTATGAAACTGACTGATGTTTTAAGACAGAATATGGTGAACTGTAGATGGCCATAATTGATGAGCAGATTTGTGGTTTATAACTATGTATGAACCAGTATACTTGTCGTTAAAACTAGTATTTAATAATGTGTTGTCTATTCCCCTTAATTCCCCTTAAATAGATCCCTATTTCGTTTCGTTTTTATAGTATCAAAAGTATAAAAGAACGAAATATAGTCCTATTTTAATATTGTAATTATATAACAAGTATTTTTTTTTTCATATATATTTCAGAAGATGATATAGAATCTAGTTCTGTTCAACCAGTTGTTGATGGCGGTAAACCACGATTTCCTAACGGTGTTATCTTCTCCATTCCTTTTATAGCGTCTATCTGTGGTGCCGTTGTACTTCTGCTCTTTTTGGCAGCTTTTGGTTTTGGTCTTGGATTAGGTAATTAATATGAATTTATCTTGAATGTTTACCTTGAAATGGGGATCACGGTGGCTTAGTGGGTAAGGCGCTGGCTCGCTAGCCTGGAGGTCGGGTGTTCGATCCCTGCATTGGCCGAGAAAGTTCATCCCGATTTTCCGGCGTGGTTCCCGTTTGTCAGGGATGCAGGACGGAGGGCCTGACAAGGACAGCTGTCTAGTCATTCGGATGAGACGAAAAACCGAGGTCCCGTGTACACATTGGCGTGCACGTAAAAGATCCCTTGACAGTTGGAATTAAGATATAAGAGTAGGCCGTAGTGCCGCTGTCCGGGCAAAATTTCCCTCATAGCACACTGTATGGCGTATGCCCGTCTTCATTAGCCCAGTTCGGAGCAAAACAGTAGGACGTTAAACCCCATTTCATTTCATTTACCTTGAAATGGATGGCTGAATGGTTAGCACGTCACGCACGTGCGCGCTGTACCATAAGGTCTATCATTGAGTCAACTGTCGTTGTTTCGATTCCCCGGTTGTACGTGACAAGGAATAGGGTCGCCTGTCAACCTTGTGGGTTTTCTCCGGGTCCTCCGGTTTCCTCCCACTGCTTAAGACCTCTATGCGCAAGCCAAATTTTGAAATAAAATTGAATCATGTGTTAGTCCCTAAATGACCTAGTTTGTGTCGAGTGGATGTTAAACCCCATTTCTCTCTCTCTCTCTTTTTAATGAAATAAAATGAAATGGGGTTTAAAGTCCTACTGTTCTGCTCCTATACTGGGCTAGTGAGGACAGACATACAGCATACAGTGTGCTATGAGTGGAATTTTGTCGGGAGCGACATTATGGCCTACTCTTATATTGAATTCCAACTGCTATGGGATCTTTTACGTGCACGCCAATGTATACATGGGGCCTTGGTTTTTCGTCCCATCCGAACAACTAGACAGTTGTCATTGTCAGACCCTATTAATAAGTAATATGATATGTTATGTATATTTTACAGGATCTTTACCAGATGCTCCTGTATTAAGATGGTATCACGTGATAATGGCTATTATATATATCACGTTTCAATTTCTGTACAGTCTGATAGCGACCTTTACAGTTTTCTCATTAATGTTGGTCATAGTTAATAGGTAATATTTTATATATAGAGAGGGCGGGGGAGAGAGAGAGGGGGTGTTTAACGTCCACTCGACACAAACTAGGTCATTTCAGGTCTAACACATGGTTCAATTTTATTTCTATAATTCTCTTGCACATAGGGGTCTTTAGCAGTGGGAAGAAACCGGAGGACCCTGAGAAAACCCACGAGGTTGGTCAGGCAACCCTACTCCTTGTCACATGCAAACGGGGAATCAAAACCACTTGACTCAATGACAAACCTTATGCAACGCACAGGTGCTAACCATTTGTCCATCTACCCCCACCCCCAACCCACCCGCTTCATTCAAGGTGTTTTTGATATATTACTCTCTACCGTATTGTGTGAAGGAATACCAGGCGATACAATTGAAAATTTAATTTCACAGCATTCCACATAATCGGCAGACAGAATAAACAAGTCAGCGTCACCTATAAGTATTAGGTAAAATCTTTGGATGGGCCTCTTTTTATTTCGATTGAATTCAAGCTGAGAGATTACGCGACCTCCCACTACAACCGGTCAGATCTCCATGTAGTGGAGACCATGACTGGTATAAAAAAAAAAAAATAACGAAAGGAAAT